TGAGCAGCCAAATAACAAACCTCGTTCGGAAAAAAGGAAACCCAGTTCGGGCAACATAAAGAGTAGTTGTCACTTTTTACTGTTCTCTTTCACTTCCCTTTTTCCCTGTTTTTTTTACTCGCTTACTCTTGCTTCGCTTATTCTCTGATTGACCTACAGTCAATGTGTTGAACCACTTGAACATCGAACTCATTACTCACACCAGATTTTTTGCCCAAATTCGTCTAAGGGGTTCCTCTCGTGATGGGAAATTGTGTGGGAATGACAGCAGAGGGTAGTGAAGTGAAGGGCTCTCCACCCTGTAGCGATGTTCCCGCCCTTCGCAGGCGCTGTTAATGTTCGCATTTTTTGTTGATAGTAGCCGTTCACAGAAAGTTATGACACCTTATCAACCAATTGATTGCACCTGACGCCAGGCTATAAAAATGGTAAAAACGAAATACAAACGGAAGCGAAACTAAAGTCATTGATCTCTTACACACGGCCCCCTCCCCATGCTACCTACCACTTTCCTAGATTTTCCCAACTTCCTACCACTTTTTCCATTTTTCCCGAAAAATTTCCAGTTTTTCCAGCCAAGAATTTTCCGTCGAGCGGGGGTTTATACCCAGGTGAAACATGGAGATTTCTTAGATTTTTCCAACTTCCTACCACTTTTTCCATTTTCTCCCAAAAATTTCGCGTTTTTCTCCAAAATTGCTGTCGAGCGCGGGGGGAGGTCGTCAGAATTTAACTATCATTCATTTTTCATTTTCAACTATCGGAAATAGCGGTTGTAGACTACTCTTTGGCAGTCCGTCTCCCAACAACGACCAAATACGACCCCCTCCCTCCCTCGCGGTCGAATACGATCCCCCGTTATGATCATCACACGATGGCGTGCCCTGCTCTTACAGAAACGTAGCAAAGAGACAGTTGAAAAAAAAAGCAACAGTGGGCTTTAAATTGAGTAGGCTACCTCGTCATAAATCATCCGCTCCCAGTATCCATGTAGCTTTGGGCACCCAACACCTCTGCTTCTTCAGCGAGGAAGTGTAGGGTGGTCTTAACTGTGGGGTCCTGACGGGTTTTTCTGCTGTTTCTTCTCACAGGCTTGCCACTGAGCATCTCGTCCCTCATACAGCCGTAATCGCTGTGCATGCTGGGGCGTGATAGGGAGGCTGAGTTTGACGCGAGGCTTTCTATTTTTGTCGCTTGCCCGCTTCGGCCATTGGACAAGAACGGGTTGGCACCACACCGAGTACCCGCTCTCCCTTCTCTCTGAAATGCCTCGCATCCGCAGAGAACAATAACGCATTTGAGCTTCATCGTATCGTACATCCTGCTCTTAATATTCCATCCTTAGCCCAATTAAAGAGAGCTCTTAAAATACCCGCATAATAAGAAAAAGTTTTAAGGTTCACAACCTCACATTGGTATTTCGAATTTAGAATTGACGGTCACTTTCCGCTGGCGATACGGGTGACATGGGACCTGCGTAATCCCAAAAAGGCTTGCATGATTCAATAAATGGTTCGGCAAAGCTCACCCGTGGCATCCAGTAAAGGATGTGTCCGTTGGGATCAACTCGAAGGGTGACAGCTTTCGGACATTGAGCTGCTTTTGGAGACCTCTGAAATTTCATGTTCGCCATGTGAAATGTAACCTTTGTCATCAAATTATACAAGGAGTTTGAACTAGCTAGAGCTTAATTGTAGTTAGTAACAATTTCCCACGTTCAGTCCAAACCAGGAATTAAAATCATTGGCATCATCGATGCTCATTTACCCGTGAAGTACATTAAAAGTCGTGGCTGAATTTCACATTACCGTGCGAATGTCAACGAAGTAGAATTTACTGCCTTTAACGAAGTGTGGAGGGACCAAGAGGTTGTCTCCTAATGTCATCCAGCCTAAATATGTAGGATAAAAAAGTATAAGAATACTACA